AGACTTTATGACCCTTTTAGCACAGCAAGTCCTGCACTGGACACACAGTTAGAACATCAAGACTGCCTCATTTCTCTTCCCTCTCCTTCCAGACTGTGGCATCTCTTATGTTCCCAGAGTTTGCAAGTGTCCCTGCTTCCCTGTCATCCTGGCTTGAAACCTCAGAATGTCTGACTCTTCCCCACCCCCACACAGCATGTCGCACCCGCTGTCTTTTTCATAATGCCTCTCAAATTTGCTCTTTTTTACTCTGTTCCTAACAGCCTGTGCTTAAAGCTCCATAGGTTCATTACCTACAGAGTAAAATGCAACAGAGGCATGGGGGCATAGTGCTTTCAGGTTTTGTAGTAGGAAGGGGTGGTGCCTAAAGCCTTCCAAGGGTAAGTAATGATGTTGACGGACGTGGAAAGGAAGTCTGCTGTCATCTCCTCCTGGAGCAGTGTGAGCAGCACACCATCAGCCTGCGTGCGCGTGCACGTGTGTGTGTGTGTGTGTGTGTGTCATGTCCGCTCGCTGATCACGTTGCACTGCAAATCTAAACAAAACTCTAGAAGTACTAGTCGTTATTCTCATACAGACTGGTAAAGCTCTTAGTTCTGCTTTTGTACAGTTGCATTAATTCATTGAATACCTGACGTCTTCTTCTTTATCCTGACCCAGACAGCATTTGAGGAGAGCGTCTTTGATGACTTAAATTTCAAAATTTGGCTACAGCCTATAATGTGAGCTCAGTTTCTTGTCTTAAAAATACTTATCTTCCTTTTCATCAGGAAAGGACTGAGTTATCCTCAGTGTTTTATTTTGAAGGTTCATGAGAGGAAATCAGATATGCACATGGAATTTGTGTAAGACTATTTCAGGTCTTATTCAGGATTTGGGTATTCGACATGTACTAGTTGCTGCAGGCATCACAAAAAATAATTTGTTATAATTTAGAACTTCTTCCTTAAGACCCAGAAAGCTGTCTGCTGTGACAAGCAGGGGGAAAATCGTATCCTCTGACATCTGGCCACAGTAGCATTGCTTCCTAGACGCCTTGAACATTGAGCAGTTCTTACCTAACAGACTAAATCTTTTTTTTTTAAAAATATGTATGTGTGGGGGTAACTACTAGTCACGCGTTTATTTTAGAATTTCTTTTTTTCATTTTAAGACAGAGTCACACTTTGTTGCCCTAGGTAGAGTGCTATGGTATCATAGGTCACAGCAACCTCAAAGTCTTGGGCTTGAGCAGTCCTCTTGTTCAGCCTCTTGAATAGCTGGGACTACAGGTGAGCACCCCAATGCTTGGCTAATTTTTCTATTTTTAGTAGAGATAGGGTCTCCCTCTTGCTCAAGCTGGTTTCGAACTCCTAAGCTCAAGCAATCCACCCACCTCAGCCTTCCAGAGTGCTAGGATTACAGGTGTGAGCCACTGTGCCTGGTCTATTTTAGAAATACTTATTAAGTACTTAATGATGTGCCAGGTGCTGTTCTTGGAGCCAAGTATATGGCAGGCACAAGTACCTGCCCTCAGGAGTTTGCATGCTAGGGGCAGAGTTGGACGATAATAAAATAAAATGTGTCAGTGTTACACGTGTTAGAATTTCACCTGATCAAAGGACCATGTTTAACAAATGCTGTAGAGAAAAATAAAGCTGGAAGGGGGGATAGATAGTGCCGGGGTGGGCCTGCAAGAGCTGAATTTCAGAGAGGTCAGGGTCTCCGTTAGACTCTAACATTCCAGTAGGTGAAGAAGGCGGGATTTAAACATCGGGAGGAAGGCTGTCTGGGACAGTGGTCACAGCAAGTGCTGCCCCAGAGCATGCCTGGCTGTGGGAAGAAGATAAGGAGGCAGAGGGACAGAAGCAGAGAGAAAGGAAGTTGTAAAGGCAGAGCTCGTCGGGCGCACAGAGCATTTTAGTGTTGGGGTTTTTAGTCTCAGTCTGAGGGAAGCCACTGGAGGGTTTTAAGCAGAGGAGAGATGATCTGAATTGGCTTTTAGCAAAATAATTTTGACTGCTGTGTCGAGGACATGTTGAAGGGGACAAATGATGAAAGAAGAGGGATTAATTGTAGATTATTATCTATAAAAATTCCAAGAGAGAGTAGTGGCTTGGACCAGGTGGTGGCAGTAGACCAACTCCAGTCTTCTTTGAAGGTCGGGTCGACAGGATTTGCTGACTGATGTGGGGTGGCAGAGAAAGAGAAGAGATGAGGATTACTTAAAAGTCAGTCTAAGGCCAGGCACCGTATCGCCCCCTGCAATCCCAGCAATTTGGGAGCCCAAGGGAGGAGGACTGCTTGAGGCCAGCCTGGGCAACATAGCAAGACTCCATGTCTACCAAAAATAAAAATTAGCTGGGCATAGCATGTGCCTATAACCCAAGCTACTTGGGAGACTGAGGCAGGAGGATCACTTGAGCCAGGAGTTGGAGGCTGCTGTGTGAGCTTTGATCACACCACTGCACTCCAGCCTTGGTGACATAATAAGACGCAGTCTCTAAAAAAGGGAAGAAAAGTTTTATTTTGTACAACTGAAAGATGAGAAGATGAGGAATGAGTTTGAAGGGCTGGGATTAGAATAATAACTGGTAAAACTTGGGACGCCTTTCACGTGGAGACATCATAAGCATAGTTGAATACACAGGCTGTGTTGAGGACAGAGTTCTGGGCTGGAGAACTCGGGAAACGGCGGCACGTGGCCTTATTTAAAACTAGAATACTAGATGAGGACACCAGGAGAGTGAGTGTAGGTAAGAAAGAAGAGTCCCAAGGACTCTGAAGCCGTGGGGATGTCAGGGAGAACGTGGCCTAGGGAGGAAACTGAGGAAGGGACAGTGAAGCACCAGGCAAAGTCCAGGGGCACCAGCCTCTGGAAGTCAAGTGAAGAAAATGCTTTAAATGGAGAGCTGGGGTGATCAAATTGTGAAGGGTAGCTTGTGGGTATAAACGGGCAAGAATAGTATTAAGAATGGAATGTCCCCCTATTGACAGTCCTGGGCCTCTGTGTCCCTATTATGTCGGGTTCTGCAGCGTACTTTGCAGCTCCCAATTGAAAGGAAGGGCAGCAGCCAAAGTTGTGACCTCTGTTTGTCACTAGGCTGTTCAGAAATGTTTCTCCCATTCTGGGCACATTGTGGAGGTGCCACTCGTAGGTATGGCCACATGGTTTGCCCTAGCCACTGGATGGTAAGGTAAGTCACATCTCTCCCTTCCTGGCCGGATCTGTAACAACCTCAGTGAGCACATTTTCTTGGCTGTGAGCCGTTGTGGAAGCAGGTGGAGGGAGGAAGCCTCTGTCAGCCAGGCTCTGAGTTCCCGCAGTGGGCAGATCCCCGGCTGACCCAGGGGAGGCATCTGGTATGAGAAATAAACTTTAATTTTTTTTTGGTTTTATCTTGGGATAACAAAACCCAAACTATCCTGACACAGTGTCTATGGTCAAGAATAAACAGTGGTGCGGCTGTCTCCATTTATAACAGGATGACAAATTTCAGGAAGTGAAAGTTTTACTTTTCCATATTGGGTAGAGAAAACCCGACAAATGACACAGGTAAGAATGTACTTCACTGTTGGTTTGCCATTAAATGAAACAAAAATGATCAATTTTTAAAAATAGTAACATTGCTTTGAGAATATTTCTTTCCTAACCAACAGGGGAACTTTCCTTCCTCAACAGAGTTAGTTGGACTATTGGAAACTTACTTGAGTGCATTCCATCCTCCAGACCTGCTCCCTTCCCATGCAGAGTCCCTGGTTGGCCTCCTGCATGCTTTGGAGGTTACGTGATCTTTATTTATATGTGGGTGTAGTACAGAAATAGTCGTGTGTGGAAGTGCGTTGGTAGGCTGGGTATTTTTGTCATTGGGCAAACATTACAAAGCAGAGTGCACAGACCTAGATGGCGTAGCCTGCAGCGCACCTGGGATATGCGTAAAGTCTGTTGCTCCTGTGATGCAAACCTGTGTGGCCTGTTAGTACTGATTCCGGTAAGCAGTTGTAACACAGCGGCCTTCGTATATCCAAACACAGAAAAAGTACAGTACAAATACGGTCCTGTAGGTGTTGCAGTCTTACAGGGCCACCATCATATGGGTCCCTCATTGGCCAAAAGTTATCTGCAGGGTCGTATTTGGTCTTTGGCCCCAGTTCCTAGCATGGAAGTTCTAAAACCCTGGAAATTTACTGAGAAACAGTGTCTTTTGTTTTACATAATGAGCCTCTTTGGATTTGGGGGGTGGTATAGATAGCCTCAGGACGGGGCTGTCACCTGAAAGACCAAGTGGTTAGACCTCCAGATCCACTGACTGGGGGGAAGGGGAGGCTGGGTCGCACTCCATAAAAGAAACTCCTGAACAGTGAGATCTGGAGCCATTCCAGGTGGCTGAGCACCTCCAGATGCTGGGAGACCAAGTGCTGTGCCGAGACCGCAGGGCGGCCCCCTACGTGCCTCCCGCTTCTTTGCCTGGTGCAGCTACCATGGCTGTTCCTGAGCTGCAACCTGTGTAGGTCAAGCTGGATGGAAAGTGCAACCTGCAGACCCTTTACTGAGGCCTCACACCTGCGGACTCCAACACTAACTCTGGGTAGTCAGTGCCAGAGTTGAACTGCAGGCACCCAGTTGGTGTCCCGAGAACCAGAGAACTGGCTGTTGGTGTTGGAAACCAGCCTACCCGTGTGGCACTGAAGTTCATTTTCAGCATGATGTCTGAGTTTACACAGTCCTCAATATTAGAGAGGAAATGTTAGTGCAAGAGACGAGGAAATCATGATTTTGCATAAAAGAATTTATTGAGTGGCCAGATCCCAATGAATAATGTCAGTCATTGCTTTTTGATTCTGCTAAAATGTGCCATTAGATATACTTTTAAGAAAGTGTACAACTGCATCACCCAAAGCTATTCAGTTTGGATTGTGTAGAGTCAAAGAAAACTTCAGAAATCTTTGTTCTTTCATAAAAGTTTCAAAATATAAAAATGAAAAAAAGAAAAAAAGAAACCCAAACACAGTATTCAAAACTACTTAGCGACACCTCAGACTATTTACAGTAGGTGCCTTTTTAATAGAATGTGCTCAGCTTGATCCTTTTTCACATTTTACTTCTAGGTAGTCTCACCGCCCCATCCGACCCCCCAGTCCGTGAGTCTTCCCAGGCCCGTCTCACCCAAAACTGCCATCTTCTTTCTGTCTCAGTCACCTTCGAGTCACTCTCTGACACTCCTTTTTCCTTCTCTTAAATTATCCATGATTCTATTAAACATACATTTACTGAGCACCCGATGTGTGCCAGGCACTGTGCGAGGAGCGGGGATAAACACAGAGACGGACAGTGACTCCTTCCTCAAGCTCAGACTTCAGGTTGTATAAAAAAATGTTTTCACATTCTAGTCCACAAAATCCCAGGCCTCGATGAAGGGAGGGATTTCTTGAAGCAAAGTGCACTCATGGAGGGGATCTCTCAACATGGTTCACTCCCACACTTTGAATGTGAAATTCTGCTTTTCATTATGGAGTGTGGCCTCAAAACCCCACACCTGAGACTGATTTCTGAACTCGTCACAGATGGGACCAGCTGGATCAATGTGGTTTGGGGAAGGGTATTTTCTTAATTGTCTTCTACCAATTACAAAATTGAAAAGCTCTTAATAAAACCCTAAATTTAAGCAATAGATACATGTTTTAAAAGCCTCCCTTGATTTGACCTTGCAGTAAGATGCTCAAAGACTTTTCCTTCATAAACGTGTAGGAGGAGCCCTTTTAATTAACTCCACACATTCATACTTTTTTATGCTTTTCTGTGAATATTTCCTTAGCTTCACACATAAAAGCTGCAGAGTAAGCCTGCAGGTGACCTTCCCCCCCCTTTTTGTTAATGGTTGAACCCAAAGGAGTCTCAGCTCTTGTCTCTGGTCCATATCTTTATCCTTGAGACCTGGAGAGAGACCCCCTGGTAGTTACAGAAAAACATAAAGGGTAAACCATGAAATAAAAAACAAAAACGGTGCGTGGGATACTATGGAAGCAAAACCAAACTCTACCCTTGCTGTCCCCATCTTGTTCCACAGCTGGCAGATAATGCCCCTGCAAATATTCACATTTGGAAACTTTTTAAGTCACAGGGAAGGCCCAGTCACGTGGTGGGCTTCACTCTCACAGTTCGCAGCAGGTCGCTGTCCAGGGATCCCCACGGCTGATCACTGGGAGATGAAGGGAGCTTCCGCCAGCAGAGGCCTTTCCACAGGCTACACAGGGTCGCTCTCCAAAGGGTCCCATCTGATTGGATGATAAACTACTGTCCGTTCAAGAATATTGGTGCCAGATTCACAATGTCCTCGCAGGCTGGTTCCAAGCCCTTTGGATCTGATGGCAGTTTGGGGACATAACATTTGGCTTGCCCCACTCTAGGCAGGGTGATCACCATGTGTGAAACACATGAGGAGAATGAGCCGAGCAGGGAGTCCTGGGGGTGGGGGAGGTGACCATGCACAAGCTTCTTGCTCGGTCGTGCATATATTTTCCGTGTAACAGCGTGTATTTCACACATGGGGGCTTGTGCTTTTTCATTAAAGAAACAACTCACCCTGTAAAGCTCGTTTGGCAAATGTAGCCGTGAACGGGTGTGTAAATGTGTCGTGAGGTCCCACATCAGGCCCTGTGAGTGTGTGCTCCTGCCCCTCCCCCACCCTCACACCCACCTCACCAGCAAGGACAATCTTGCCAGGTTACACCTGGTCGGTTTGATATTCGGAAGCTTCTGACAGGCTCTCTGAGAAGCTTAGGAAATTCTCTTGGTACTCAGAACAAACAATCTCGTAGCGGTAATGCCGGAACTCCACGGCAAAGGTGCCAAAGTAAGACAGGAAGCACATGACCAGGCCCCACTGCACTCTGGCCGCGTACATGTGGATGTTCTGGGCCATGAGGATAAAGTCTGGGCAGAAGCCGTCAAGGAAAGCACCCTCACCAGGCACGTTAAAACTAGACTCTCTTCTGGGCTGAGACAGGGTGCAGAAGCCTGGCTCTCCCCCTCACTGGCTTGAGAGAGCTTGCTGAGCATGAAATCCACATGAAGGGTAACAGCGTGCTCCAGCTCTGTGCACAAGACGTGTTACAGGTGTGTTCACAGATACTATCACGTCATCCTCACAACAATCCTGTTATCATCAGTTGTTTAAAAATGGAGAAACTGAGGCCAAATGGGTCTGAGTCACCCAGCTATCAACTGGTGGAGGTGGGACTCAAACAGGCACTCTGATCCCAGGCCCTGTGTTCAACCACTATACTCTAAGGCTGCCTAAATAAAAACAGTGAGAGTAGCAAGGGGATCACAAATACAGGTTAATGAGTTGGCCAGAAAAATTAAGCTATCTTCTTAAAAAATCACTGTAAATGACTGTGAATTCATAGTTATCGTTATATCAACAGAAATGATTTTGATCATAGCAAATTGCTCAATACCTAAACTGTGTATGGCTCTGCAATGCTACTATTTAATAATAATGGTTGAGTGGCCCCTCTTCCAATTTCCACTGCTGTCTTTCAGACAATATTGTAAGAAATTGTTTCATTCCAGGTATCACATTTAAACCTGGGCTCAAATGGAAATATGCAATTAACAAAACAAAGAAACAGATGAAGCTGGGTGTGGTGGCTGATGCCTGTAATCCTAGCATTTGGGGAGGTGGAAGTGGGAGGATCCCCTGAGTCCAAGAATTCAGGAGATCAGCTTGGGCAACATAGCAAGACCTCATCTCTCCAAAACTTTAGTCAAATTATCTGAGTGTGGTGGCAGTTGCCTGTCTATAGCCCTACCTCCTGGACAGGTGGAGCCCAGGATTTGAACTTGCAATGACATGTGATCACACCATTGCACTTTAGTCTAGACAATAGACCAAGACCCTGTCTCAAAAGAAAGAAGAAAAAAAAAGAAAAGACAACAAACCGATGAGACTCCTATGCTTGAATATATATGGAGAGAGGGAGAAGAGAGTGTGTGTGGTGTGTACACACATAAATTAGGTAGGAGCTGGAAAGAAGGGTGAAAAGTCCATAGCATCCAAGGGGCTGAGGACTAAACTTATATATTTAGAAAAATCAGATATGCCCCCTTAGAATTAGTTCTGTCTTCTCAACTTAGACCTAAAATCTTGGGACAATTTCAGAGAGCAAGAGAATGTGAAACTATCAGCCAAACTTTGCTCTCCTGACTGGGCCTTGATCTAGTCACCTGGGAACCAAGAAATGGTTCCAAGTGTTCCAGAAACAAGAAATGGTTCCTCGTTCCAGAAACGAGATAGGTCAGAATCACTTGGTCAAAGCTCCCACCTTGGAATAATTTATAGTCTGTGCTTCTGACTAAGGATTCGAAAATATTGCCAAAGCAATATTAATCGATTACTTAAGTGACTGTGGAAGGCATAAATCCTCAGATCTCATACTGGCAGTTTTGATCTTTCTGAACATAAAGTATTTTATCAGAAGGAAGATTTTGGCTTGGATTTTATGTCTTTAAATATTCTCTATCTAAAGCGACTACAGAGCCTCAGAAAACCATTAAAATGATTGAGTGGCAGTTTGTGAGGAAAGAGGAAATAAAAGATTCCAAATGCTCCTCCACTAACTAGAAAACATCTCTGAACGCTAAATGTTTACATAATATAAAGCTCGTTCTCTAAGGGGGAATGCTGTCATGGTTGAGAGTGCAAGAGCTGAGCTCGAGTTTAAATCTTGATTCATGACGCACTGTGTGCTTTGGGACAAATTAATCTCTCTACGATTATTCTTATCTGTTAAGTGAGGATAAAGAGTTGATATATATATAAAAAGCTTAGAATAATAACACACCAAAAAAAGTGCCCAATAAATATTAGTGATTCTACGATTGAAGATGAGTGACTATGTTAGCTGTACAGTCCACTGTTGCGAACCTTATTCCCTTCTCTGGTTTTCTGAGAAAGAGAACCAATCTGTCAGAGTGAACCTTTCCAAAGACTCCACCTGATGTGATTGGCTGGATTAGAATTGGCAGGTTTCTATTGGGCCAGACTGCAAGTAGGCGGGGTCACTGTGCTCCACCTGTTACTAGATGAGCCCCGTGGGGGTTCCCTCTCTGCCTTTCCCTGGTTTCTGTTACTGGGTCGGTAAGTTGAATTCCAGGGTATGAGATAACACCTGTGGCGTTTTCCTTTCCAAGATTACTAGGAATAAATGCTGATTTCTTCATTCCTACATGGCCCCTCGTGTCTGTTCTTAGTTGGTTCAAACCTTAAATATTTGTTTAGAAAAACTACACCTACAGTGGGAATCTAATTCTTGAATTTGTTTTAGTTTTCCAGAAAAGCTTATTTATTTTCCTGAAAAATATAAATGTATTTTTCCCTTGAAATTCATTTTAGAGCTAGTAAATTAAATGCAACAATAGGGCCATCAATAATGTCACAATTTTTTTTTTAAGATGGAGAAAAAATTACAATTCTCTTTTGGTGATGTATTCTGTGTTATTCACAAAGAGAAACGTTTATATCATTTGCCAAAGGGAGAATACAGGGCACCATTCTTACAGATTGAAACAGACTTGAGAGGGCAGAGCTTGTTTTATTTTTATTTCACCATCTCCTCTTGGACATGAAAATTGGTCTGAGACTGTTTGTTTTTGTACCCATTTATTTCTCTGTTTTGTCTTAAAAAGCTAAGATGATCTGGCAGAATATCCTAATCCACTGGGAGTGGCAATTATCTTCCATAGAGACAACTTATTTTTATTATTTTTTTGAGACAGGATCTTGCTCTGTTACCCTGGGTGGAGTGCAGTGATGCCATCATAGCTCGCTGCAACCTCAAACCCCTGGACTCAAGTGATCCTCCTGCCCCAGCCTCCCGAGTAGCTGGGACTACAGGTGTGTGCTGCCACGCTTGGCTAATTTAAACATTTTTTTTTGTAAAGATGGGGTTGCTCAGGTTGGTCTTAAACTTCTGGCCTCAAGCTATCTTCCTACCTCAGCCTCCCAAAGTGGGAAATTACAGGTGTAAGCCACCTCCCCAGCCAATATATTTATTTAATCTCACTAGCAAAGAACTTTTTCATGTGCAAAGGATACAGAGGACCACACAGAGAGTGATAGACGCTGACAGAATAACTCGTGGAATTCCAACTTTCCGTCCTTCATTCTTGATGTTGACTTTGAGTGTCAATGCAGCCTGGATCCAGCAGGTCAACGTGCCAAATCCAAAGGTCAAGGAAGTTCCGACGTTATGGATTTCTTCATCATTTGTGAGCTACGGGATGAACAGATAATGGCATGTGGAGGCTCACTGAGAAAAGATGTGAGCTGATGGAGTATGCAAGGGGGAAAGTTAGGAAAAGAGATATGCCAGCAATGGGGTGATGGATTTACGAACATCGGAGTCATTCTCCCCGGCTGGCTCTTTGTGTCTATTTTCCAAAGTTCAAGCTCAGAGTTCAAACCTTAATAACATTTGTTCAGAAAAACCATGCAGGCAGGGGCAATCTATTCCTTGAGGCTTTTTGTCCCCTCACCTCCACCCCAAGAAAATCTTTGTGAGGAAGGCAAAAGAAAAAAGCAGAAGAGTTATACACTAAAAAGGGAAATGTTTCTACAAGCACATAGCCCAGGTTGTTTTCTAGGCTAAGAAAATGAGATGAAGGATCTGGCTGTGTATTTACTGACCGAGGATGGCCAATTCCAGGCAGGTCAAGATATAACTGGCATAGACAACTAATACCCTTTGGGCTGTTCTTCACTCCTACAGAACTGGCCTATGTAATAGGACCAATTCATTGTTACCGAGAATTTTTTTTGGCTTTGTTTTCCTATAGTAATAAGAAAAACTGCCACCTGTATGAGGTGGAGCTGCATGAGGAGGACTGTGTTTGAAGATTCATACTAAAGGTTTTTATAAGTTGAACAGGCTATAGGAGACCCAGTTGGGTTATTTCAGTTGGGGATTAGAGATGTAAACTCTCTAAATCGTTACCCATTGATATTTAAAAATATATCAATCGATTAAAACTCCTTTTGTATTTACACTCATTTTTAATTGCACATATAGGAAAGTAAAATCTACTATTGAAGAGAGAGATGGCTTTTAAGCCATGGTGAAAATAGTTTTTTTTTTTTCAACTGTTATTATCTTCAGATGTTATGATGTCTGACAATGTTGTACATAACGTTGCATCAGATCGGTATTTCTTTTCCTTTACAATTTTTTCTGTTGTTTTTGGCTATAGGAGTTTTTCTTCTTTTTTGGAAGAAGTCATTTGTTCTCTCATGGTTCAAAAGACATATTTTTAAAACTTATTTAAAATCATGATTCCTGAAATCAAATTTCACTTCTAGAAAATAGGTTTTTTCCCATGCTGTATACAATTTATTCACTTATTATTTTTTAAATCTAATTTTAAAAGTAGGTACTGTAGTTACATAGTTTTAACTTTTAAAAATTATAAGAGAGGGTGGCTCCCATAGCTCAGTGGGTAGGGTGTTGGGCACATACACCGAGGCTGGCGGGTTTGAACTTGACCCAGGCCAGCTAAACAACAATGATGACAACTGCAACAAAAAATAGCCAGGCATTGGGGCGGGCACCTGTAGTCCCAGCTATTTGGGAGGCTGAGGCAAGAAAATCACTTAAACCCAAGAGTTGGAGGTTGCTGTGAGCTGTGACACCACAGCACTCTACCGAGGGTGACATCGTACGGCTCTGTCTCAAAAAAAAAAAAAATGATAAGAGGGGGATAGATTGAAAAGTCTGTCTCCCATCCCACATACTGGCCACTTGGTTTCTCCACAAGCACAACAAATTTGTTTTTTGTTTCTTATGTGTTCTCTGTAGAAATTCCAGCAAGTGTTTTTTATCTGTAGTGTCATTTATTATTTATGGTTTTGAATATTTGTGGTTCATCAAAACCACTCGGCCCCAGGGTTCTTCTAGGACTTTGGCAGAGAACAAAATGCGTACTTGGTAACTCACCCAAGTCCTGCTTGAGAGAAACGATAGTTACTGAGCACTTCATAACGTGTCTCAACCACAGCCCAGGCAGGCAAGTGGGGAAGAGACTCCCACCAAAATCTCACTAAAAAATTCCCAGTGCCCTGACATTTTGAAGCCTCATATGATATACTCTCAGATATTTTCCTGGTAATTCATTGCCATAGTGACTGTGTTCTAAGAATGCAGCTTTTTGGTTGTCTAGCTTGATGTGGAGAGGAATTAGTGGGATTGCCT